AATTCCCCTTGCTGGGCGGTATATCCTGGCCGTGTCGCCCCGGCAGCGGGCTCTGGATCGCCGCCCAACCCTCGCCGCAGCTCCATGCAGCGCCGCCACGAGACCGTGCGCCCATCTGGCTGGCTGCAACATGGCCTCCCTCTCTCCCTCACGTTCCCCCATCTCCCCTTCACCCCTTACTTCCCCAACAGGTACCCTGGTCCCGGCCCGCCGCGACCTCCCCCTCGTCGTCCTGCTCGGCGTCTGCCTCTTTGCCAGCCAGCTGCTCTACATGCTGGGTATCGACCTGTCTGGCGTGGTGGTGGCCACCTGCATCCAGCCCGCCATCCCCGTCTTCACCGCCCTGCTGGGCATCGCGCTACGCCAGGAGGCGGCCAACCCCCGCAAGCTGGCCGGCATCTGGCTCAGCGTCTTGGGCGCCACGGCCATGGTCTTCGGTGGCATGGCCGGCGCGGCTTGCGTGGATCGTCCCCACCTTGCGACGGGGCCTGGCCTGGCACAGGGACGGGAAGCCGTTTCGAAAGCTGCGCCACCAGGCCTACGTCGGCAGGGAGCGGGCCATCAACCGGCTGGCGGAGCAGTTCCGCGCCCCCCCGGGCATGACGACAATTGTCGGCGTGGGCAACTGGTCGGCCCAGGACCAGGGGGGCATCATGCGGGGGCCCCCGCCGGGACCCTGGATCCGCTTCTTGCGGCGCCTCCGGCTGGTGTGCAGGGTGGTGGTGATCGACGAGCACAGGACTTCCAAACTGTGCTGCGCCTGTCACACCACCCTGCACGCCCACCAGTACGTGCGGGTTCGCAATGGCGAGGAGAAGCTGGTGGACGTGTGGGACACCAAGCGGTGCGGCAACAAGGCCTGCAGAGTTCATGCCGTCAACCGCGATGTGAACGGGGCGGCCAACATGCTGATGCTGGTCAAGTGCTTTCTTGCGAATGCACTTCGTCCCACAGCTTTTGGTGGAACCCCTGCTTCCCCTTCCTTTCCCCCCACCCACCCACCCCCCCGGTTCGCCATTAGAGGCAACCAACTGCGCCAGCGATATCCCGTCCATGGGAATAAGCTGCTAGCAACCGGCGCAAGCCCGGAAGGGGGGGGTATTCCGTGCTTTCCCGGGTGCCCCCTCACGCCTTTCTTTCAAGGCCCCCCCTCCGGATGCGGAATTCAAACCGTTCCAGGATGAATGATATTCGAGAGTGACCTTCCAGTCGCCTTAATCTGAGCTATTACCCGGTGCTTGTGCCGCTTTTAATCCATCTGGCATTCGATCGGACTCGTGCTATCGACGGCGTGGCAACTCCCGGCCGAGTCAGTGTCGTAGGTAAGTTTGACATTTTTTGCCAGGTGTGACGGAGGCAGCTCGCTGCTACACATATCAGCAGCACCATCAAGCCCGTTTAATATTGCCTACTAAGTTATGTCTCCGTGCCGTCCACGATACACTGGACACACCGTGCACAGGCCACGACTCTGTTCAAACAATCCTTCGACAGGTACGATCATCCTCCGGCTCCGAACACCTTCGTCCCCTGTTCGCAAGCAGATAGAATGAGACACATCCTCGTGGTGTGCATCCTCGGAGCATGCCTGACCGGTGCACGGGCCAATGCGCCAGCTCCCGGCCCATTCAGTGGCGCTCCAGGTGACGAAAGGGGAGGTTTCACCTTTCTCAAGACCCTTTGTAGAACAGGAAAGCTCACAGGGAGCTGTACGATGTCAGACGTTCCCGGTGAGGGTATCTGAACGCACCACTCGCCCACCATTCATCGCTGCAGACAACTTTGAGGACGATCCAAACTACCATGTCGAGTCTGTTGACTCCCCTGCGCCAACACCCTCGGAACTATCACCTACGCCGGCACCATTCCCTGGCCCAACTCCATCCCCAGCCCTAGCCAGCCCATCTCCCCAGAAATTGAGCCCACCACCGCTGAGATCCAGCCCGCCACCCCTGAGGTCTAGCCCCCCCCCACTCTTCCCCAGCCCACCACCTCTTGTGTCCAGCCCCCCACCTCGCCCACCAAGCCCTCCTCCCCTGGTTTTCAGTCCACCTCCCGTGGTTTCCAGTCCACCTCCCCTGGTTTCCAGCCCACCACCTCAATCTCCCAGCCCACCGTATCCCTCACCCCACCATCCACCCTCGCCGAGCCCCTCCAGGTCGCCCTCCCTTTCCCCTCCACTTCCACATCCATCCAGCTCCCCATCGCCCACTCCTTCCCAGCCTGCCCCTGTGCCCGCCCCAACGCCCATTGTGCCCGCCCCAACGCCCATTGTGCCCGCCCCCGCGCCTATTGTGCCCGCCCCAACGCCCATTGTGCCCGCCCCAGCGCCCATTGTGCCCGCCCCTGCGCCCATTGTGCCCGCGCCAGTGCCGGCGGTGCCCGCTCCAGCGCCCGATGCTCCTGCACCAGCGCCTGTCGAGTCTCCCAGTGCCCCTCCCCCCAAGGTGCACTCACCCCCCCTCCCAGCCCACCACCACCCAGCCCACCCAGCCCTCCTCCGCCCAGCCCTCCTCCGCCCAGGTCCGGTTTGCATTGACGTGTTGGCAGATTAGCTGAGATATCCTGTCTTAGCAGTGCTTGCTGATTTTTTGCCGATGCTGCCGGCAATGCCAGTACCCCCCTGCCGGACTCTTCCTGAGCCCTGGATGATCGTGACAAACACCACAACCCCTGCAGCCCCCCTCCACCCCCCCCTGCCTGCCCGGAGAATGTGAGACCGCAGTGCAAGCTCTTCCTGGAGCAGGCCACCTGCTGCGCTGAGACCGGACTGACCCTGAACTCGGCCTGGGCCTCGATCGCCGTATATTGCACGGCCCCCACCATCATCCCCGCCTCCTGCATCAGGGTCGAGGGTGGGTACGGGCTGACTGATCCCTTGTTAAGGGGGGTGCGGTGGTTTCGTTGGCGTCGCAGGCTTTTTGCCCCTGACACGACAGTTCCTTTGCTTACTCAATGGGCGCCTTTAAGTGCAGGAGCCCATAGCTTCACCACTGCTATCGCCATTTGGGCTTCTGGCACATTGCGGAACCCCTCCTCCTTGTGATCAAACCTTGTTCCCCCCCCCCCCCCCCCCCCCCCCCCCCCCTCGCCCCTCTTTCC